AATACCTAATCCCTTGGGAGGGTGAAGAAAAATATTGAATATTTTTAGATGTTGTATACCATAGGTCAATGTGAATATGTTGAATATTACCAATATTAAGCGTGGTTATTTAATTTTAATTGTTATGCATATGTAGAAATTATGGGTCATTCATTTGTAGTCTCTTAACTTAGTTTCTTAAAAGTGAAGAAACCAAAATTTTGGTGATGGAGAAGAAGAAAAATATAGAAATGTTTTACATATATTATACCATAATACAATGTGATTATGGTGAATACAAATAACATTGAGGTTAAATATTTATTTTTATTGATTATCCATGTAGATATAATTTATTTGTCATTCATTTATAGTCTTTTAACTATGTGGCTTAGAGACGAAGAAACATGGAATTTGGTGATGGAGACAAAACATATTGAATATATTTACATCTAATTTACCATAATTCAGTATTAATATGGTAAATAACAATAAATTTTAGCTTGACCATTTATTTTAGTTATTACCTATTTTATAAAAAATATATGTCATGAATTATAGTCTTTTAACTTTTTTTTTTATTGGAGAAAAACCTAAAATTTTGTGACGGAGTAGAAAAATAAAATATAATTAATTTGTTACGTCTACTGTAGTCTCTTATGTTTTTTGCTTAGTGATCAAAAAAACCTAAAACTTTGGGATGGTGAAGAAAAGTATTAAATATGTTTAGATGTAATATAGCATAAGTAAATTTTAATACATTGAATATATATAATATTGGGCGTGATTATTTAATTTTAATTGTTATGCATATGTATAAATTATGGATCATTCATTTGTAGTGTCTTAACTTAGTTTCTTAAAAGTGAAGAAACCAAAATTTTGGTGATGGAGAAGAAGAAAAATAAAGAAGTATTTTACACATATTATACCATAATACAGAGTGATTATGGTGAATACAAATAACATTGAGCTTAAATATTTAATTTTATTGATTACCCATGTAGATATAATTTATTTGTCATTCTTTTATAGTATTTTAACTATGATGCTTAGAGACGAAGAAACATGAAATTTGGTGATGGAGAAGCATCATATTGAATATATTTACATCTAATTTACCATAATTCAGTGTGAAAATGGTAAATAACAATAAATTTTAGCTTGATTATTTATTTTAGTTATTACCTATTTCATATAAAATACATGTCATGGATTATAGTCTTTTAACTTTGTTTTTTAGTGGAGAAAAATCAAAAATCTTGTGACGGAGTAGAAAAATAAAATATAATTAATTTTTTACGCCTATTATGTTTTTTGCTTAGTGATAAAAAAAAACTCAAATCTTTGGGATGGTGAAGAAAAATATTGAATATTTTTAGATGTAGTGTACCATAAGTCAATGTGAATACGTTGAATATAAACAATATTAAGCGTGATTGTTTAATTTTAGTTGTTATGCATATGTATAAATTATGGGTCATTCATCTGTAGTCTCTTAACTTAGTTTCTTATAGCTGAAGAAACCAAAATTTTGGTGATGGAGAGGAAGAAAAATATTGAAATGTTTTACATATATTATACCATAATACAATTAGATTATGGTGAATACAAATAACATTAAGCATAAATATTTAATTTTATTGATTACCCATGGAGATATAATTCATTTGTCATTCATTTATACTCTTTTAACTATGTGGCTTAGAGACGAAAAAACATGAATTTTGGTGATGGAGAAAAAACATATTGAATATACTTACATCTAATTTACCATAATTCAGTGTGAAAATAGTAAATAACAAGAAATTTTAGCTTCATTATCTATTTTATATAAAATATATGTCATGGATTATAATCTTTTAACTTTGTTTTTTAGTGGGGAAAAACCTAAAATTTTATAACGGAGTAGAAAAATAAAATATAATTAATTTGTTACGACTACTGTAGTCTCTTATGTTTTTTGCTTACTGATAAAAAAAACCTAAAACTTTGGGATGGTGAAGAAAAAGATTGAATATTTCTATATGTAATATAGCATAAGTCAATCTAAATACGTTGAATATAAACAATATTGAGCTTGTTTATTTAATTTTAATTGTTATGTATATATATATTTATAAATTATGGGTCATTCATTTGTAGTGTCTTGACTTAGTATCTTAGAAGTGAAGAAATCAAAAATTGTGTGACGGAGAAGAAGAAAAATATAGAAATGTTTTACATATATTATACCATAATACAATGTGATTATGGTGAATACAAATAACATTGAACTTAAATATTTAATTTTATTGATTACCCATGTAGATATAATTTATTTGCCATTCATTTATAGTATTTTTATTATGTGTCTTAGAGACGAAGAAACATGAATTTTGGTGATGGAGACAAAACATATTGAATATACTTACATCTAATTTACCATAATTCTGTGTAAAAATGGTAAGTAACAATAAATTTTATCTTGATTATCTATTTTAGTTATTATCTATTTTAGTTAAAATATATGTCATGGATTTTAGTCTTTTAACTTTGGTTTTTAGTGGGGAAAAGCCTAAAATTTTATAACATAGTAGAAAAATAAAATATAATTAATTTGTTACGTCTACTGTAGTCTCTTATGTTTTTTGCTTAGTGATAAAAAAAATCTAAAACTTTGGGATGGTGAAGAAAAGTATTGAATATTTTAAGATGTAATATAGCATAAGTCAATGTGAATACGTTGAATATAAACAATATTAAGCCTGATTATTTAATTTTACTTGTTATGCATATGTATAAATTATGGGTCATTCATTTGTAGTCTCTTAATTTAGTTTCTTAATATTGAAGAAACCATAATTTTGGTGATGGAGAAGAAGAAAAATATAGAAATGTTTTGCATATATTATACCATAATACAATGTGATTATGGTGAATACAAAGAACATTGAGCTTAAATATTAAATTTTATTGATTACCCATGTAGATATAATTTATTTGTCATTCATTTATAGTCTTTTAACCTTGTGGCTTAAAGACGAAGAAACATGAAATTTGGTGATGGAGACAAAATATATTGAATATATTTACATCTAATTTACCATAATTCAGTGTGAAAATGGTTAATAACAATAAATTTTAGCTTGACCATTTATTTTAGTTATTACCTATTTTATATAAAATATATGTCATGGATTATAGTCTTTTAACTTTGTTTTTTAGTGGGGAAAAACCTAAAATTTTATGACGGAGTAGAAAAATTAAATATAATTAATTTTTTACGTCTATTATGTTTTTTGCTTAGTCATAAAAAAAACCTAAATCTTTGGGATGGTGAAGAAAAATATTGAATATTTTTAGATGTTGTATACCATAAGTCAATTTGAATACGTTGAATATAAACAATATTGAGCTTGGTTATTTAATTTTAATTGTTATGCATATGTATAAATTATGGATCATTCATTTGTAGTCTCTTAACTTAGTTTCTTAGAGTTGAAGAAATCCAAATTTTGGTGATTGAGAAGAAGAAAAATATATAAATGTTTTTCGTATAATATACCATAATACAATGTGATTATGGTGAATACAAATAACATTGAGCTTAAATATTTAATTTTGTTGATTACCCATTTAGATATAATTTATTTGTCATTCATTTATAGTCTTTTAATTATGTGGCTTAGAGACGAAGAAACATGAATTTTGGTGATGGAGACAAAACATATTGAATATACTTACATCTAATTTACCATAATTTAGTGTAAAAATGGTAAATAACAATAAATTTTAGCTTGATTATCTATATTTGTTATTATCTATTTTAGTTAAAATATATGTCATGGATTATAACGGAGTAGAAAAACCTAATATAATTAATTTGTTACGTCTACTGTAGTCTCTTATGTTTTTTGCTTAGTGATAAAAAAACCTAAAACTTTGGGATGGTGAAGAAAAATATTGAATATTTTTAGATGTAATATAGAATAAGTCAATGTGAATACGTTGAATATAAACAATATTGAGCGTGATTATTTAATTTTAATTGTTATGCATATGTATAAATTATGGGTCATTTATTTGTAGTCTCTTAACTTAGTTTCTTAAAAGTGAAGAAACCAAAATTTTGGTGATGGAGAAGAAGAAAAATATAGAAATGTTTTACATATATTATATTATTATACCATAATACAGTGTGATTATGGTGAATACAAATAACATTGAGATTAAATATTTAATTTTATTGATTACCCATGTTGATATAATTTATTTGTCATTCATTTATAGTATTTTAACTATGATGCTTAGAGACGAAGAAACATGAAATTTGGTGATGGAGAAGAATCATATTGAATATATTTACATTTAATTTACCATAATTCAGTGTGAAAATGGTAAATAACAATAAATTTTAGCTTGATTATTTGTTTTAGTTATTACCTATTTTGTATAAAATAGGTGTCATGGATTATAGTCTTTTAACTTTGTTTTTTAGTGGAGAAAAACTTAAAATCTTGTGACGGAGTAGAAAAATAAAATATAATTAATTTTTTACGTCTATTATAGTCTATTATATTTTTTGTTTAGTAATAAAAAAAAACCTACATTCTATCATCATAAATGACAATTTGCGATTACAATACACTCCCTAATCCTCTTTAATTAGTAAAAATTTATGCTTATGAGATAATGAGACTCTTTTAATTTTCAACATTAAGTTCACATGTTAAAAAGCATGTAAAATTCTATCATCTTAAATGACACTTTCGACTTTAAACTCGGATTTATCTTTTAATGTCGTTGTGGTTTTTTTTTAAATTGACGTTTGTGAAAATTAAAATTTTCTCAAAAAAGGGCATGTAAAAGGAGATTAATAAGTAATAAATGGTAGAACAATTCATGCTTCAGTTCTTTTTGGACTTCATGTTCAACATTTTGAGTTATTACAATGGCATTCGCCCAATTTGACTCAAACATGATGAGATATGAATCATGACAACATACATGAAAATGAATCACGTCAGATCAAAATATGATCAATCACAAAGGAAAGGGCTCTGAATCTGGTCAATTATACTCTGCAAACCAGATCTGTAATCAGGGTAAAGTAGTTGCACTCCAAGTTCCTTCTTCATCAAGGCATTAGACACTCGCTTCTCACCCCTTTCATTTCTTGATTTTTCAATTGACCACTCTTTCTTTTCCAGAAGTTGCAAGTTCAAGTCTGGCCACTTTTTCTCCACCAATTTTCTTGCATATTCAAATACTTCTTCCCTTGGTGCTGGATCATCATCAACAATATTGTAAATTACCCTGAAAATCACATGTCCAATGTTTTCACTTCTTTCTCACTATGTTACGATTTTCAAATATTTGTCCCAAAACCCGTAAACAAAATGCTGGTTTCATTATTTGTTTACAAATCTTTGAAAACATATAAAACAATAAATAAAATTTCTAATCAAATTTAAAACATGATTTGTCAAAACAAACAGACCTTAATTAGCACAAACAAGCCACCAGTGTCGATATAAATTCGCAAATGTCAATGACAGCTGTTATTATAGTTTATGTGTTCATGATAAAGGAATTCTAATAAACCTACAATTTAACATCTGAATTTGTTGATGGCAGAGTCAGTCCAGTCTCTCATGTGTAGCTAGCTAGCTACAATTGTTGTTGCTATAATTGGCTAAATATTCTATATGTTGCAAACTCTTCATCTGTTTTATTCAGTACAGTTTTTAATTCTATAATATTATACTGGCAAGAAGAATTGCCAATACACATAATGAAGGAATTGAAACAAAATTATTTCGGTAGACCCAAGGGTGGTATGTGGGCCAAGCCAATTATTTCGGTATTAGTTGAGAGTGGGACGTGTGATAAACAGTTTCCAGTTAGTTAGTTAGATTGCTATAAATGGAGATGAAAGGAGGTTGAGAAGGGGGCAGTTGGTTGGTTGTTTATTAATTGTGGGAGGAGCATGTACACACATCAATAAAACTCTTGTTATAATGGAAACTCGCCTGGGGGAAGAAGGTGAGACAATAGTAGCCATAAGTGCCTGACAGATATCATCAACATGAATTCGTGTCGTGTATTTTCTGTGTTTTCTTCTCTTCTGACCTTCTGACAAGGGCTTTTGCTTGATTAATGTATCGATGGCACTGAAACAAAATAACTGTTATGCCAAATGAATATAAAATACTAATACTAAATAGACATGCAAGTGACAAAGAGACAGGCCATTTAAACATGAAACCCCATGTCACCTATTAGCATGACATATCATTGGAATGAGAGGCTTGATTTGATTGTTATGTTATTCAACTTGAGCAAAAAATGTAAAGGATTTTATAGTTCCCACAGAAATTGATATTAAAGAAACATTACTTGGAAGGAAGTAGGGATGAGAGTAGGTTAGATCGCCCCATATAGGCCCGTGATCTAGCCTGTGCAAAGCCTCACCGGCCAATTTAGCAAAAAGGTCAGGTTTTTAGATTTTTCTTAAAGCCCTCTGATTTAAAAAGACCGGGATTGGGCTGGTAAAATAGTCTATTAGACCTTTCTGGCCAGCCTATAATAATAATTATATGTACCAAAAGCATAATAAGAATACTAGTAGTATAAGCTTTTGTATAAAACAATGGTGAAGTAGGCTTTTCAAAAGGTCGAGCCTAAAAATGAACCTATGACAGATTTTAGGTCAGAATCGGGCTTAACAGTTTCAAAGTGATCTTACGAAGCCTAGTCTAGTCTATTCCCACTCGTGATTGGAAGATAGATCACTATAAAAAAGTGTGTACCTTCTACCAGGGCCATAGATACCTCCCAGTCGAAATAGTAGTGGCGAGAGCCCGAGATGGTGAGCCAAATTTGACCAGCCTTGTTCAGAAGTTAACCTTAATTTAGCCAACTCGTTTTCTGGATTTGTAGGATAACTGCCACAACACAGGGTGTACATAATAAGAGCCAACTAACAGAGTAGTTTCTGAAATTTCGGAAGACAAAACTGTTATATTTTGTTGCATTGTCTTACTCCTCATTTACCAATTCACCATCACAATCTCCATAGACACCTGCAGCAAGACAGAAGGTGAGTGTCTCTTTATTTGAGAGCATTTTTCCATGTCTAAATTAAATCCTATCTTAGTATCTTTATGCATATGCAAAATCATGCTAACATTTTTAACCTTTACAATATATCTGTTTTAAGAAAATCCTTCTTGCTTAAGGGCTGTAACTTGTGGTTTCTCTGTAGAATTTTCAACCACCTACCAGCAGCAAGAATTATAGTATGAACAAAAACAAGAAAATGCGTCTTCCAATTATCAAAATTTACTTGCCGTGACCAGCTAAAAGAGCGAAATCATTTACGAAGACTTACTAGTTGAAGACAAGTAACAGAGCCACTGAAGACTCCCGTTGACTAATGAGCTTCTTATAAGTTCTTCATGCCGAAGCATCTACAAATCATTCAAATATAATTAAAAGAAAGAAGCTTAAGCAAAAGAGATAATCCAAGAATAAAAAATTTATTCAGTATGCTTACACACAACATTGTTCTAATAAGATCATACCGGGTCACCGATACCGACAGCAGGGGGGATAGAAACAAGAAAGTGAGTGTAATTTCTCAGTAGTTGTAGGATACTCATACTGCAAAAGTTGAACATGAAACCCCATATCCTCAACTTCTGCTATAATCCACTAACAATCCAGAAAACAATTATGTATTTAAATGATGATACATTACCAAATGACTCACTCAGGTTGGTTTGCATCAAAAAGTTGAACATGAAACCCCATATCCTCAAGCTTCTTCTTCTTTACAAGTGTTGTGCAAGTACCAGATACAACCCTACCCCCAACAATCATAAATAAACCCAATAAGAAAAGTAAAAGCTTTGAAGAATCATGAAACAGAGAAAGGTAATTAGTAGAATAATCTTATCTAACCATCCTTGATTTTGGAGTTTGCGTGCAAGGGTTTGACCTACGAATCCCATTCCTAGAATAAACATTCGGTTTTCAGATTTTGTGGAAAACGTTGGTGTTGCTGATAGTGATATACTGAAATTTCTCCCAACATTTCCATGGCGGAAACAAATCGGTGAAGCTCCTATTTGACCAATTTCCATGCCTTTCACTGTTACAAGGCAGAGGAATAAATAAATAAAATTGTTTGGTTTTTATTAAACTAGAATTTTTATTTATTTAACATATAAAATATGGAGTATCAAAATTAGATACATAAATTATTTGAAAAAATAATTAAGCAAGGGTCTATAACTACGTTTAAAGTGAACAACCCTATAGGGTCCTAATTTTCTAAGGACACCAATAATTAAAAAATAATCAGATTGGAGACTTATTTGTTGAAATTTTAGTTGCTCAATTAGTATAAGATTTGAGTAGTATAACATATACGTAGGGGTGACAAGAATCCAACCCAACTCGAAGACCCGTCCCAATTCAATATAGGTGAGATGGGTTTGGGTTGACCCTCGGATTATCCAACCCGTCTTAATATTATTAATGGACATGTGATACTATTTATTTATTTATTTAATTTATTGGTATATTTAGATTATTCTAAATTTTCAATAGATTTTTCTACTTTTCACCTCATAATTTAATATATGCATTAAGTAAATACTAAGTACACATCTGTTCTCTTACATCATGTTTTTTATTTTACATCTTCTTACTATGTTTTAGGAAAAAAAAAATGGCGATGACATATTATCGAGATTTGTACGGGTTTAGGTACGGGCGGATTAGGGTCATTAAAATAATCCGATCAAAATTTAGGACAGGGTTAGGGTTAGTCATAACCCATCCCGACCCGTCCCTTGCTCACCCTTACATATAAGGATATTTTTTATATTTGTTGTGTATTGAACGGACTTTGTAATAGCTTTGAGATCTTGTGTACAAAAATGTCATATTTTAAGCTTGATTACAAAGAGTTTTGAATAGTATGTTGAGATAAAAGGAGAGCTTAATTGATTATTGTAGAAGCATGATTCAGTCTCAAGTTTTGATGATGTCAACACTACTCAAGGTCATATCTTGGTTGCAAAAAGACAAGCCTTTCAAAGTTTTCAAGATCGAGTCAAGCTATCTTTCAAGTCAAGCTACATATGGAACTATGATTCTTCAAGACTTGGATGCATTGACGGTATATCAAATTCTACCCTTATAATTTGATATACAAGTGTTCAAAAACATCAAGCATTTTTGCATAATACATAAGCATGTTTTTTGAAACCTTAGAATTGGTATAACGTTATTTTTTAAAAGCTTTTTTCTGAAAATTAGCAGTGTTAACTGATTAACCATATAGGTTAACCGGTTAACCAATTTGAATTTTGAATTTTCTGGGCTAACGTACCAGTGTTAACTGATTAACCATATAGGTTAACCGATTAACACTGAACGTACAAGTGAAAAATGGCTTTGTTTCAAGTTCAAAATTTGTTTGAAAATTATACCATTTCATTTTTAAAAGGCTTACTCAAATGTACCTTTTTGAAAGGGTATTTTACTCATATAAATTCTGAGTTTTTCAATTTTGAAAAACAACACAAAAACTTCCAATCTCCAAACACTTTCTACATTCATTTTCAAATTGTCTTAGAATCAAATTCACCATTTTCAAAATCCTTCATTAAGTGTTCACATGTGCATAAATTTCATATTCATCTTTGAACACTTGTATTGAAAATTATAAGAGTGAATTTTGATCATTTGGAGAAGATCAACTTTGATATCATTATTCTCAAATCAAAAATCTTTACAAACTTGTGTATTCTGACTTGTGATCCAAGATTGTTGGACACAAGGGTGAGTGTTTACAAGAGGATTGTTCTTGTACACTTGTTAGTTTTATTGTTTGATAGTAGGCCTCACCGGTTGATGGTGTGATAGGTTGTACTTTATTAAACAATAGTGAAAACTCTCTTTCATGTTTAAAGGGGAGTGGAGTACTCTCGGATTGTGAGGGGAACCACTATAAATCCTGGTGTCCATTGTTCTTTTATTTTTCTTCTGCTTTCATAACCAAGAACACAACCAGTAAAATTTCAAGAAACCATAAAAACCGGAAAAATTTCTAAAGTCCTAATTCACCCCCCCCCCCCCTCTTAGGCATACTCTGTTCTTACAATTATATGAATAATGTCAATTATAAATTTAATGTAGTTATAATTATGTTTAAAAAAAAATTAAATCAGTTGTGAGATAATCCAACATTATGTGACATAGAAGTTAGAATAAGTTAGAATGTGGTTAAGGGTCCGTTTAGTTCAACGGAAGGGAGGGGAGGAATTTTAATAAAGGGGAGGGGAGGGGAGGGAAGAGGATGTATTTTAATTAAACGTATGTTTGATTCATAAGAGGGGGAGAGGAAGGGAGTGAGAAGTTTTATTCAAATATATGTTTGGTTCCCAGAGGGAGGGGAGGGAATTTAAAACTAATTTACCTTTTTACCCTTAAAATATGATAACAATCATGCTAAATAAATTTATAAAAAAAAAAGTATTCATAAAAAACGTAGATAATTAAACACAAAATATTTAACATTTAAAATACTCTAAAATATCTTGATGATCAATGATCCATTTAATCCTATAACATATTTATAAGATTAAATTCTACATAATATATAACTCATACTACAATTATATATTGATATGTAATATAATACAACAAACTATAAAATAATTAAGTTATTACAAGCAAAATATTAAATAAAAATGAATAGAATAAAACACATGGAAAAAAAAGTTGACTCATAATAATAAAAATAATGGAGTTGTCATTAAACAAATGAAGGAATTATAATAAGGTGACAAAAATTAAGGTATAATATTAATAAAAACAATTACAAAATTTATTAAATAAAAATGAGGATAATTTTGTCAATATAATAAAAATACATGTTATCATAACTCATCTCCCTCCCCTCCCCTCCGAAAACCCCCAATTCGGGGGAACGAAAAATTGCTCCAGGAGGAATTCTGATTACCTTCAATCTCCTCCCCTCCCCTTATAAAAAATTGAACTAAACACATCTATTTTAAAATATTCTCTCTCCTCCCCTCCCCTCCAAACCCCCCAACCAAACAGACTCTAAGTGAAGTTAGTTAGTTGTTTTATACACAAGTAAGTTCACCTTGTATTTAAACACACAGTTCTAATGTTGTTACTACTTAATTTTAATATTCCTCTCTCTCTCTCTCTCTCTCTCTCTCTCTCTCTCTCTCTCTCTCTCTCTCTCGCTCTCTCTCTCTCTCTCTCTTTCAATTATCTTTTCTCCTATTTTGAGTGCAATTAGAGCTTGCACTAACATATTAGTTTCCAAAGCCCAGTGGTTCATGTGTGAAGGCGTCTGTGTTTTTTAGGGTAGGGATTTGCATTTGTTTTGATGGTGAATAGTAGTAATGAAATTTCACATTCTCTTTCAATTTTTGATGGAAAAATTGGAATTGCTGGCACATACAGATGAAATCTCTATTTGACTTTTAAGATACTCTTGAGGTGGTTACCAATAGGGTTTATGAGCTTGCAACAAATGCAACTGGAGCTCAACGCAACCTTACAAGGACTCTAAGAAGAAAGATTATAAAACGTCGTTTTCCATCCAGTCAACAATTGATGAGGCAAAACTTGATCGAATAGCTCATATTGATGCAAATTGTTGAAAAAAGAGGAGTTCAAGATGCCATTCAAACTCAAACCTTGAAGAAGCATTGTGGAAATGGAAAGGTCAAAGGAAAATTTTACAAAGCAATTACAATAAGGGTTCTTGGCCTCATCCTTAGAAGCATTAAATGATGACAAGTCTGTATCTTCTAAAATAGAAGGGACTTCTCATCATAAAGAAAATTTTGATAATAAGACTGCGCAATGTTTTAATTGTGAGAAATGGGGTCACATGGCCAATGATTGCTGGTAAAACAAAGTGATTGACAAAATTTATAACTCAATAGAGACGGTCCTACTCTTATATCAAGATGATATTAGAGAGGCTCGGAATTAACATAAACATTAACCCTAAAATAACACTTAACACTCAATACGCTCTCTTGTCGAATTAGGGTTATGCCATCATATTTATAAGCAGTGTCTGGACTGGGTTTGAGCTACAAAGCGCGGCAAGGTACTTGCTAAAGATCTGCAAAATATTCTCTATAAACATAGGATTCCAATCAAGGGTTTCCTAAAATCTCTTCAATATTAAGAAAAATAGAATATCTTTAAATATAACAAGATTCTTTGATTCATCGATTTTGGACGCCACATAGGATTACTTAATATTCACATAATATTTAGTAACTTGTAATCACCCCAACTGTAAGAACTTGCAGACCTGTAACAGACAAGATGTCGAGACATCTTGTTCAATATGTTTTACTTCATGTTAGAGCATCTTGTTTAACATGTTGCTGCCAAGTTAGTTTTACCAAAATTACTTCCAATCACACACCCAAAGACTTAACAAATACAGGCTTTCCCCTTCATATTTTCACATTCATAAACGTGAGCATTCTATCTCACTCCTCACTCACTCTCTCTCTAAAATATTTATCACTTTCTTTCACTTTAATTTTAGTCGTACCACTTCGAGAAATCCTTTTATTTAGAAAGTAATTTGGTATTCTATAAGGGGTGTTATTGTAAATTCACCAAGAGGTGTTTTTCTCTTGGTTGAATAATTTATCCTTCAGGGAGAATTTGTTTGGGTTACAAGCTAAACCCTTTAAAAGATTTGGTTTGGGAATTCGGTTTCTAAGTTGTCGGTTTGGTTCTTAAGCTTAATCTAGTTTAAAAGCTTGCTTCGGTTCAAGATCAACCCAGTTTAAAATATCTGTTTGGTTTGTGAGTTAAACCCAATTTAAAATCTCACCTTGGTTTGAGATAATCCTTATCTAAAATCTCATTTTGGTTTTTGGTCAGCCTAGTCAAAATTCCAGTTTGTTTCGTGAGTTCAACCTGGTCAAAATATCACATTGGTTTGAGATTATTCCATAGAAAATATCGATTTAGATATGGGACTAACCAATTCAAGTTTTTTTTTTGGAATGAAGATTAACCACTTTAGTCCACTGTTAGGATGCAAGACTTATTGCTTCTC